CATCGCACTCCAAGTAAGACCCAGCTTCGTTACTGACCCCGTCCGAACTCCCACGTGGCACAAAGTTATCCCGCTCACCCTTCATTACATTGAATTACGCCCGTAAACGATTTCACGAGTTCTTAACGAGTTTAAAATAAATTATTTAATATTCTATTTAAAAATTCACGAGTAGTTCAAAAGCTCGTGAATAATTAAAAATAATAATATAGTAAAACTTTATTTTTTTAAATTTAATTTTTAGAAATATCTACATTCATATGTTGTTTTTTTATACAATATAAGTTTTTTTTATGTACTTTTCCAATTTGTTTAATTTTGAATCAAGCTTGAGTTTTAGCTTTAATCGAGTCAAGTTTGAAAAAGTTCAAGTTTTTCGAGTCCAAGTCGATATTAATTTTTATTTTGAGTAGATATTGAAAATTTTAAATTCATGACTTTCGAGTTGAGTATAGCTTCAATTTTTAATTTAATTTAAACTTGATAATTTCTAACGAGCTTTCGAGTTAAGTCAAACTCAACTTTAAATTTGTATATTTTAATTGTTTAGAGACCATCAATTAATGTAATAGTCTATCTAATTTTATAGATTTTTTAATTATAATATATTTGTTTTTATTAATAAATTAAAATATTATTAATTAAAAATATCGAATTTCGGTTTCAGTTTATTATTTTAACATTTATTTAATTAATTATTTTTTTCTGACATACAGATTAAATTTCGTTATTTAATATACTTAATAATAATAACAATAATAATAATAACAATAACAATAATAATAATTAAAATATAATAATAATAATAATAATAATTAACACCGGTTTAAGACCGGACCGTTTCTTTATTCCCGAGTGGCAACTAGAGTTAAAACACGGTCCAAAATCCCCAATAAAAATGTCATCTTTATTGGTTAGGGTTTCTCATCTTCACTTCTCCCAATTTATCTGTCCTAAACATTCCATCCAATCCTTTTTTTTTTTTTAATTTCGATGTGATAATGCCCTCGACGGATTATCAAGGAAGTTCGTCTCCGTTGACAAATCTCGGCCGTTCATTCTTACCCCATAGGAGAGATCAAGTTCACTCGATGGAATCTCCGATCGGTGGATCTACGTCGAACGAGGCGGAGCTCGAGTCGTTCCAAAGGCAAGTAGCCGACCGATTCCACGATTTAGCCTCTGTTCCTTCCGATGAATTGCTTTCTCTGCCGTGGGTTCGGAAATTGATCGACGCTTTCCTCTGTTGTCAAGAGGAATTTCGGTCATACTGTTTAACAACAAAGCTCCGGTGAAGAAACCTCCAACGGACCGTTTGATCGCCGATTATAACGAGCGTGCCGTGAAGGCGCTCGATGTTTGTAACGCTATTCGCGATGGGATCGAACAGATCAGGCAATGGCAGAAGCTTATAGAAATCGTGCTTTGCGCTTTGGGTGGCGATAATAATAGTTATCAGAGAAGTCTAGGTGAAGGGCAATTCCGTCGAGCGAGGAAGGCATTGGTGGATTTAGCGATCGCGATGCTCGAGAAGGATTCCGGTCAGGCCCTGGCTCATCGGAACCGTTCATTTGGGAGACACAACAATAGCAGCAGTCACTCAAAGGATAATCACCATCGATCTTTGGGTCATTTCAGGTCATTGTCTTGGAGCGTTTCGAGGTCGTGGTCCGCTGCCAGGCAGCTCCAGGCGATCGGGAACAACTTGGCCGTGCCGCGAGGGAACGAGGTTTTGGCTACCAATGGACTTGCAATGCCGTTTACACAATGGGTAGTGTTTTTGTTGTTTGTAATGTGGGCATTGGTGGCATCAATTCCATGTCAAGATCGTGGCTTGCAAGTTCATTTCAATTCCCCAGGCAGTTCCCGTGGGCGGCTCCGATTCTTTCGTTGCACGAGAGGATATTGGAGGAGTCCAAGAAGAGGGACAGGAAAAATGCTTGTGGACTGTTGAAAATGGAGAAGTGTTCTCGGCTGTTGGGCGAATTCGCCGATTCTGTGCAGTTCCCTTTGACTGAGGAAAAGGAAGTTAGGCAGAGAGTAAATGAATTGAAGCAGGTTTCAGATGCCATGAAAGAAGATTTAGAACCCTTGGAAAAGCAGGTCAGGAAGTGTTTCATAGGATTGTCCGTAGCCGAACTGAAGGGCTTGATTCTTTATGAGGTGAAAACCATGAGTGACAAATGAAGAAGATGAAGATGGAAAAGAAACGAAGAAGGATTCGAGGCACTCAGCCACAAAAATTTAAAAGGGTAAGAATGAAAACCCAAAAAACAGAGATTTGCTTGTACTTATCACTTTATATCAGTGTAATCAGTGTAAAGAAAGCAGGACATTTAATTGGATCTCTTTGGTCCTGATGCTGTGTTCATCTTTGTGTTGTTATATAATCAAATGTCGTAAGTCTACAATCTTGGTTATGTAGTTTATTTTATGTTGAGAATTTTGCTTACTTGTTAATGCTATATACTTTTCTTTCTGCTTCTTTATTCATATTTTTGCCTCTTAGATGCAACAATAAGATGGAAATGTAAGAGTTTTGTTCTTGGATTTGATTCATTTTATGATATGTTCCCAGCTTGCTCATATCCTGATTCGAATAAACACTCACACCTCGATTCGAATAAACATATGCTTATCTATCACTCCCACTCCGATTCGAATAAGAGCTTCATCTTTTCTTGTTTTTGGCTATTGTCTGGCAACTTAGATTAACTTATTTATGTGCACTTTCAAGAACAAGAACAATAGAACTTCTATGGTTTGTCAAGTCAGCTATTTTTAACCATTAAATTTTCTATGTGAAAATGACAGGGAATGAAGTTACATCATACAAACAAAACTAAAACCCCATTCATCCCCATATGTTTTTTTTTTCAGGTTTTCAAAAGCTGAAAAAGATTGATTAAACATCAATTTCTCATTGTATTAATCAGCTACACCATTTACTCCTGCAGTCTGCAGATTTATCACACTTACATAAACATCTCGATCTGGCGATAATCCTGTTTAATGAAAGCTTATGTGATACTCTGTTTATTATTTTCTGCATTAAATGGAAATCACACATTAGGCTTTCCAGCTGATGGTCGTCTGTATATCTTTTGCCTACTTGCAACTTACGCTTTGCTTTGACAGCTCAATAGCATGCATGTTCAAGCTGGATTCCTGGATTGGGTTTTGGAAGATAAAGATTATAATTTGTCGATATCAGAATCGAGTTTTCGTGTTAACCAACTTACGTAGCCGGTCTGGTTTCGATTTATGTTATTTCGACTTTTCATTTTTCCGACAATCGTGCCTAATACATATTCATACCCTGCAACAAAACCATGGTTCTGGATGATTTCTTTGGGTTTAGGTAGCTTTCATACACAAAGCTGGAGAATCATAAAGCTGCATATGATTGATCGTTCAATGGTGAAATAGGCCACTCAGTTTTCACTCTTCATATTGGCTAATTCCAGTATTGACAGACGGTGGTCTCAGCTTTGCCCCCACTTTTGTTGCCTCATTGAATGCATCAATGTTTGCTTCATATTTTTTCTCATTACAGCTTCCTTAAATTTATTGGATATACTTTTAATAGTGTTAACGAGAGAAATGAAGTTGTGGTTTTGAATAATTTAGACTATGCGCTATAGCGGTGGTTTAATAGGTTGAGAAAGGTGATGAATGGTAGAGATCTTTAGGGGAGAGAAAAATAGTTACTAAAAGAGTATTCGCCAGCCTTGTATGACGGTTTTATATATCGATCCTTAGTATTGATATTAAATTTAGAGTGATGATAACTACTAATAGATTGGTAAGTTAATAATCTGGTTGTCCGATGTATCGCATGGGTCTGGTAATGTTAAGGGATTAAAGTCAATATCATGTCAAAAGACGATAATTAATTTAAGGATATGAAATTTCAAATGTTTCAATAGATGAAAGGATGACAATAAAGATGTGACATGATAAAGAAATGAACAAATCAGATCGGATCAAATTATACTATGGGTTCAGGTCATTCGTACCATCGAAAAGATGAACAGTAACAAGATTAAGACAATCTACATGTTTATTAATATTTGATGTGTTTTAACTTTATTTCTCTCTCTAAATATCCGTGTTTGAAACGGAATCATGCATTTCAATGTATGTTCACGAAGTGGGCTCATTCATGGCCAGAGCAATGAATTAAAGCCATTTGTTTTTCTTCATTAATCATTCTATAATCTATGGAACAGGTCTGAATCATTAAGTTAATGGTCCAAAGATCTACCAGACAGATTGTCTTTGAATATCTTCTTTATTGTTCTTCTGACTTGAGTGAATTCAATTTCGTATTGTCAAACCAGTTTAATTTGGGCAACCATTTTCTTTTTTTCTTCACAATGTAAAGAAAGCCATTGGAGCTGTTAGGATCCCCACCACTGCCTGCAATGCAACCAAATTGGTGAACAATGTATTTAGATGATGAGGGACCAAAATATAATAATTTATAACATAAATTATCAAAATTTAATAAAATAATAATATAAGTGATCAAAATAACTTTTTCTTTTGATGAGTAAAAATGTACAAATATGAAAGGAAAATGATGAATTCAATTTACCCAAAAACCAAAATCAAATTGATCAATCAAAATTCTTATCCAGTCAGTTTAATTAATCAATCCAAATTTTATTTAATGGAAATGAAAGCAAATTAAATTACTTCAAATTTCGTCAAGAAGCAATTTCTTTGCTTTGTGCACCTCTTTGTTTGGCATCCAAGAAAACTACAGCAAATTGCCAAGTCAGTTTCACTGTAAGATTCCCATGTAAGCTTGGGTTTGAAGACCAGAAAGACCATTGTTGGATTCAAATTTAACTTTGGTTCATTTCTATTTGTTTTTTTAATATATATTGACATTACATTGAGAAAATATCAATGAATAATCATAGATTTCCCCAACAGATTGAAGTATCCTACTCACAAAGAAACTTTTTGGCCAATGTAATTCATATCTCCCCACCAGAAATAAAGGCTTTAGATGCTCATGAACATCTAAGGACTGTGACCTAAACCCATTCTTAATAAAAACTAGAACCCATTCGATCGCAACCGTGAAAAAAGAACATCCGAAAGAGGCTAAGGTCGGAAGAAACATCAATAAACACCTTCTTTCAAACACTTTGCATCATTCATGCACATGATTTCCCAAAAAGGAAATCAGAAAGTGAAGATCTGACTAATGATATAAACAGATCATTACTGTCCTTTCTATTTTTTTTTTTTTTTGTCAAAAGGGCTTGCCATGAGTTGTCACCACATAAATACAGTACACTAGTCCAGAATCCTTTTTGTTCCTTATTGCACATGCCCCAGAGGAGGAACAATCGATCATTAGCTATTAAAACCAACTTAATGCCTCCTCTACATTCCTTCGCCACAAAAACTTCTACTCGATAATAAGGGCTATTTCCTTCATGGTTCCGGTTTAGGTTTTCATTTTGTTTACATATGAAGAACTGCAACTGCTCTAGACTACTATCAGCTTTGGAATAGCTATATTCAAAAGAAGATAAACCTAATGGTGCACCTTTCTGTTACCCACTCCTTTCCTCTATAACAGACTAGCTATTTTCCTTTCCATCTCAAGAAAATAATATTTACCACTACAAAGATCGAACCCTACGGAGCACACGTGCTGGTCTTCGCTGCTCCACAACTGGAACCACCTTCTCCATGAGCTGCAGTAAAAATTAACATGATGAGAAACCCTTTTAGGAATTTAATAGGCACGGCTCATTACTGTATGCCTTGTTTTCCATAATTACATTTCTCACTTAGGTATTGTTTGAGAACTAGCACAACTAAAGCCAAGTTATCTATAAGTGTTAAATACAAGCTAAGTACCTCGTATTACACTGACAGAGTCATAATAGTCCTCAGCCAGAAATAATTACACTTATCTAGATATTTAAATCAAATTATGTTACTTGTCGGAAATGAAAAAAGGAAACATTAACAGTTCTTTAATTTCCTACTAACAACGTAATCCTATATATATTTAGTGCAATAGGTTATTCTTAAAACATTCCCACTTTAATTTCCTATTAACACATACTGTTCCAACTACACTTAAGGTCAAACTATTTCTTTATTTTGACCAATCCCATTGAATCTGATTAACCATTAACTTAACACTTAATGCTCTGATAAAAGCAGAGATTTATAACCTGCTTAAATCTTTCCTTAGTTCTCTCAGCCTGCAAGTAAAAAAATGCAGTTAGAGATGAAAACATACGCAATAAAATCTAGTGAAGTAAAGGATGTTGCAATACATAAACATGGAAATTAGTATGGGAAAATAGAAAAGCATAAAAATCAATAAATTGTGAGCATTAGCATACGCTACAAGATAGAACTAAAATTTAGAATATTGTAACTAAGAACAAAGGATAAAAGAAAGCCCAAACTCAAGCTGTTAGGAATTGAGACCCAGGGCACAAAAATAGAAACATACATGAAATAAGATGGGTAAAGTTAAAACTTAGTTCCTTCCAAGCTCTTGGTTTAACACCACAAACATGAGATGCATAACAAGGGATAGAAATGTTTTGCTTTGGGTAAAATATGATTTATGTAATATGCGTAAGTGCAAGAAATATCATGCATTGAATAAATTTTTCATTTTTAAGTGTGGTATATGCATTCAAGTTCGTACGGATGCATGTGTTCTGCTTGAATAATTTCCTCTGCCCACGTGCTCAGTAACTTAAGACACGAAGAAGCTAGAAGAAATGAAACATAAATGACCATGGTAGAGGGAGTCAACAGTTGCCCTACAAATAAAGCAGCAACCAGACATTGGCTAATTGAGTATATGCAACCATGGCAAATCCAGGGAATTCACATTCAAGCTATCTCCACCAAGAATTAAAGCAGCCTGTACATGGATACATGTATTTATGGTGAATCTAACATGTTATGTTCTTGAAAATTCTAGGGTTCTAAATTTGAGCGCATAAAGCAGTGTAGGATGCACCCATATACCTAAGGATCATACACTATAACAGAACACAGAAAATAATAAAGAATATTTTCTATAAAACACATGAAGCTGAAAGAAAATGTGAAACTAATGAGTGAAGGAACACCACAAAATGAGATTATAACTTACAAGTAGCTTGGGAACTTATATGGTGAATAATCACAAACCCAATCCAACGAAGACTATGGACATGGTAGGCAAGGAAATTATGGTAAACTCTAGGGAAATATCGTGAAACTTATTGTTGGCAGATGCATCAAGCCACTTAAACACAGCATCGCTAGCAAAGTAGTAAGTATTGTTATTAACTTATTTATTATCAACTTCTGGAAGTTTTGTGATAAAAGTTGACCAAAATAGGAGCTCCTAGCTTTAAAACAAAATCCTTTCAGATGCAGATAAAGATAATGTCTCTTCTGGAGGAAGTCATTGCAACTACATTGAGAACAACAAGCGACACACTATGTGTTTGAGATAAAAGAAATTTCCCACCTTTAGCAAGTAATTAATGAGGAAATTAACCATTCCTCATCATTATCTGAAATCATAAATTCATAAGACGAACGGTGATAAAAGTTGAGAAAAAATTCAATACCTTTTCTTTCAACAGCCACTCGTTCTCCTCTTCCAGCTTTACAGCTAATGATTCCAATTCAACTTGGTATGCCTACAATTAAGAGGAAAAAACAAAAAACCAAATTTTTCTAAAGAAACAATCCATTAACGTTGACACAATTCAATCAAAAGAATTCAACCAATTGTATTATTGTAAACCTGCTTCCTTTCCCGAGACCGGGCAGCAGATTCCCTATTCTTAATCATCCTCCTCTGCCGCTGCTGTGCGGCTTTATCCAACGGCTCCAATAAAACCCCTCTTCCTCTCTTCCCTCTCCCTCCACTACCTCCACTCCCAATAACTTCCATCCCGTTCCCGATCCCAACAATTGACCCCTCCATCTTATCCAGCATCTGAAACGCACCCGCTCCCACCGGATCAAACGTGTACACTCCACCACTCAACCTATCCGGATGCAACTTAACCTCCTCCTCTTCCTCCACAGCACCAGCCTTCGCCAAGAAATCCTCCAAAGTCATCATCTCGTCCGGCGCCTCCTCTTTCGTCGTGATCTCTTTCCTCTCGCCCGATACAATTTCCCTCCAAACCTCGTCCACACTTCTCACAACGTTTTTATTAAAATCTGCTACAGCTTGAACCTGAGCAGCTTCAGAATTATCCGCGACGGCATTCAGAACCGGAGCGTCGATTACAGTGATCGAAGCATCAACCAGAGTCGTCTCAGTCGTGGGAGCCGCCGAGTAAGCGTTTCGAAGGATGCCATCTACTGTCATTGTCGAGCTCAATCTGTTGTTATCGTCGTTTTTGTTTTGATCCGTGAAAAGTTGGGGTTTTGTAGATGAAGAATTACTAGAGCGTCGGGAGAGATCCGAATTTCGCGAATTTGAAGTCGACGACGCCATTAGCGGCGACAATTCCACTCTTTTAACCGAGCGATTCTCTCGTTGAAAATTTCAGTTCTCTCCCTCTCGAGAAATTGTCTAGGGTTTGGGATTTTTTTTTTTTTGGATATTTGGGGATTTTGAACTTGTCGTACCTTTTTGGGGGATTTGTTATTCTGTTGGGATCAAGGAGACTAAACAGCGCGAGTGAGAGCGCGTGGATCAGTTTCCGATTAACAAAGAGATGGTTAGTTTAGGTTAAGTTACCGTTCCGTTTTTTATATTGTTTCGCTTACTGCAATGATCTGAGATAACGTCGCAGCTTGATTCGTTTACGTAGTATTATGAAAAGGGTAAAAGTACACAAATGGTCACCCTGACTATATAATGTTATTTTGTTGAGTACTCCAACTATTAAAAATTACAAAATGATCCACTATTTAAGACATTGCTTTGTTGAGTCTTTGACTATTAAAAGTTACAAAATGGTCATCCGACTATTCATATGTTCCAAAACTATCATTTTCTGTTAAAAATTTGACGGTAATTTAAGTTGTAACATATGAATAATCTTATGACTATTTTGTAACTTTTAATAGTCGAGAAACTTAACAAAATAATATCCTATAGTCGAATGTCCATTTTTATAACTTTTAATAATCAAAATATTCAACAAAGCAACACCCTAAAGTCGATGGACCATTTGTGTGCTTTATTACCCTTTCTATGCTTGTGTTGTGAATTTAGTCTATGTATCTTGATTTGTTTACTTTTAGTCTTTGTAATTGAAATTTTAAAATTTCAATTTTGATTAAACAATAACAATAAAATCTATTAAATCAATTTTGGTTATTAGTTCTTGTTTTAGGAAAAAGTGTAAACTTAGTTCATCTTCTTCAAATTTAATCTTTATACATTTCAAATTTTAATTTCAATCTCGATCCAAACAGAAACAATAAATATTGTTAAATGAAATGTTTTATAAAGAGGTGTTTGGTTCATGGAATATAACATTACCTCCGGGAATAAGATTACTAGAATGTAATATTATTTGATACATTATCGGTAATGTTACATTATTATGTTTGGTTTGTTTGATATGAATGTAAGGTTACAATGTTTGGTTAAAGGAATAAAAGATTATTAGAATATATATTTTATCAAATTATTCTTGTGGTATATTTTTAAAAAAAAGTTGAATTCTGGATATTTAAGTAAAAATATTTATATTAAATTCATAGAATATTGTTATTTCTTCTTCATTCCAATCGAATCCACTTTCAATATTAAACATTTTTTTTGATAAAGCATTGTATTATCTTTTCAGTAATTTCACTCTAGATTCAATATATGGAAACATAAATTCATGTAAATTAAGTGATCTAATATTATATCTATAAAGTTTTTATGTGCATAACTTATTTTAAGTATTATTTATATTTTCTAAGAATACGTGAAATAACCACAAACATTTGAAACATAATTTTCAACGGCGATCACACCGAAATATCACCCTGCAGAACTTTAATTACCTGTTAGACACCCTTTCATCTTTATTTACCGATCTAACACCCTTTGTAGGAAGGCGCGCCCATGCACCGTGCCTTACGCTGATCTGGCACCACGTTGAGTAAGGCGCGGCCCATGTATCGCACCTTGTGAAACGTGTAAAAAATGGATGCTAGTTTATAAATATTTTTACAATAGTGTCTAACATATAATTAATTTTTATTATGGTGATATTTGTGTAAACATGTCAACTTTATTTATTTATTTTTGTGTGTGAAAAAACTTTCTACATTAAAATATTTAAATATTCTTTTGCAAATTATTTTATAACTCGACAAATTTTGATTTTTGCATGAAATTACACAATACGTATAATCTAGTATAGGAAAACTTTGAGGGTAAGTATTTAAAAATATGAATAATTTTATAAATGTTTTATAACTAGTATTTATTTTACAAAATGATGATGATAAATATTTATAATTTAAAAAATTATAAATTTCATATATTTTTGAAATGTATCCCCCCAGACCGATGCGGGTAGCCCGATCCGATCCGGGAAGTCACATTAGGGCCACCGGAGCGACCCATTGTAAAAATAGCGGAAAATTTAAAACTTTTATTGAAACGTGTAACTTATAAAATTAGTTTTCACTATTTAAAAATAAAACATATTTCGAAACTCGTATATAAATCAAAATACAATTACATGCCCCCTAATCACATGTACCCTACTCTGCAACAACGCCGGACAAACTCCCTTACTGAAGTCGATAGATGCACTGGTACAATTCTTTCAACCTGAAAAGGTGAGTAATAGAGTGAGCTTTGGAAAGCTCAGTAATACAGAACTACCAGATGATGCTGATGAACGTGCAGATACAGATAAATATTTATTTCCTTATTGCTTCTGAGCATTTACATATTTTTATGCTGAGCAGAGATTCTACTGATATTTTTGGGTGGTAACGGACAATGAGCTTTCAGTTCAGAGAAATATTTCGGATGACTGAGTTGAGGAGATCAGAATAGGTTTTCTAGTGTGTTCTCGAAAAATTCAGTAAAATGATACAGATCTTTTAAAACATATATATACCCCCATCCGTTCACATCATAAATGTGTAGGTTCCCCAGAACCATACACCCAACCGCACATGCCATTTAGACCCTGAGCACAAAGCCGAGGAGTCTGCAGATAATCTTCCTCCAACAATAAACCCCCCAGATAAAACATTTATCCGTCGGTAAACGGAGATATCAGAAATCAAAACATAATTCAGATCAGATATCAGAACAGAATCCAGGTTAGGAATCAGAACAGATTTCAGATCAGATGTCAAAACAGAATTCAAATCAGAAATCAGATAAAATATTCATATAAGTAGGGAACACACTAGAGTTTACAAATATTATTCAAAGGTACTGGATAATCTTAGCAAGTAGAGAAATATGGATCTTCAGTATATCGATAGAATGTCAGAATTTAGAATCACTATTGTAAAAAGTTCAATAACTGACGGAATCATCAGTTATTCAGAATGTGAATTATCAGGATCATATCTTATTCGGACAATTTTCAGAAGTTGTACGTAATCAGAAGGGTATTCAGAATCCTTTGCATCCATGTCAATTGATCGGATAATCGAACAACTTGAGAACGAAGATTCAGAACCTTAACAATCTATGTCGACTGGTCAATTCATTTTCCTTTCAGGGTATTTACCCTTTAATACCACAAATTCTTGTTCATATTCATTTTCGAAATTAACGTTGAATAAATCTTCTAATGTCTTTATTTCATGTTCACGTTTTCACCATATCATGAAATACTGACGTACTTGATTTTGTAATTCATAATCCATAAGAACATTACATCATATATGTTCATTAACATTTCCAGATTCATCCAACTCACTTATTCAATCCTCAGTCCTTGTGGTTACTTAATTTATTTAGCATTCAAGTCCATTCCAGATACTTCGGGATTTTCCAGAGTAATTCAAGCGTTCCTGATTTTTCAGACACATGCTGCACTTCCGTTACATTCAATTTGGTCTTTGTGGCTGATTTGTCGTGCAAACGTCCAATTCTTGGTACTGAATGCGATCCAGAGTTGAACTAAGTTGAATACTTCTAAAATTTATCATCGAGTCAAACTTAAGAAGACGAACACGCATTCCAGTAATATCTATGTCATTCAGGTATTGACATAGCTTTATGGTTGATCTACTCACTTAAATTGTGTTCCATTACTTTTAAAGGTAGGCCAATACCTATGCTTATTTGGATTCTTTAATTAATCCAAGACATTTACTTACTTTAGGCCATAAGGGTATTTTGGTAATTTTGATGTTCAGTTTTATTCCATTTATTTCAGAGCTCGAGGATATCCAATCATTCCTTAGCTTGGTGACATTCTTGAGTCATTTCCATTACAGGGTATTTTGGTCATTTTACAGATCCACGGTATTTCAATCTTTTTCCTCCATTCGGTCTTATTATTTAATTCCAATTTATATCTTTTACTTAGTCCTTTCGAACAATTCTGACAGCAAAATACCCCCATTAAATTATTCTTCAAGTATTTACTCATTATTCGGATATTTTCGAGTCAAGTGTCTTCTCAAATTTTACAAACGGAATATCATGAATTTTCCTGCTAAGTCATGATCTTAACAATCAAATCTGTACTTAATCGACTTAAGTACGAATCCTCTAAGTATTTCTCATTCAGGGTTAACTCAGACTATTCGATCTTAAGGGTATTTCTATAATTTCTTAACCAGATAATTTCGATATTAGCTTTTAACGAAAATAATATAATTTAGAGATCCTATGATTAATTGCTTTCCCGAACCTTCTCTGATCTTGAAGTGATTCCTTAACAGGCTTATAGTATCTTGCATAAACCCTCTTGGTGTTAAAAACTGGTTATCCATAATTTCCAAGTAAAACTAACATTTCCTTATGCACATGAATAGTTTTAGCAGATCAATAATTCTTTTCAGATTTATTAATCTACTTCCAGAGACAATTCTTGTCATTTTCCACCATAAGGGTAATTTCGTAATTTTACCTAATCGAAATATTCTCATAATTTATCATCTAAGTACCTTTAATGAGATAAATTATAATCTACAATCCATGATGATTCTTTTATCACTTAATTTCAGAACTTGTAATTTAATTCCAACTGTCCTCCAATTTCTTATAATAGTCATCTGAGCCATATTCAGTTATCTATTTTCTACCGTATTCATATCTAGTGTAGATCTTCATTTATTACACATATAAGACCAAACATTTCCATTCATGCATTTACCAATACCAACATGTTCTATAAAGCATAAAGAGGTAGTAAAGTATTACCTCGATTTCCGTGCAATACTGATCGACCATAAAAATTATATTCGAACGCCTTTGATCTTCAATTCAACTTCTAATAATTCCTCAGATACATATCAACATAAATTATATCAGAAACGGAGCTTAATTACGATAAACGGATCGAATCGGGTGATAAATCAGTGAAAGACGGCTTACCGAGTTCGAATTTGGCGAAACGGACTTCGGATTCGGATTCAGGACGTCGAAAGCATAAAATATGACTTTTCAGAAATTTGGAATTTTCGGTCAAAATCAAAGTCAACGGGTTTGACCGGTAATTTTGAGGCCTTCGGGTTCGAATTTCGAAAAACGGACAGCGGAATCAGA